TAGTTTGCTATCGTTAAAAAACTGTTTCATAGTGCCATCAAAAATGGTGTTTAAATTGCTCATTTCTTATGAGTTTAGCTTGAGTCGTTCCCCTTCCGGCCTCGCGATCTAATAATTGGGTATTCTTTTTTTTTTTTGCCTGGAGTCGAGGTTGGGAGTCTCTCCACGTCTGTTTCAGTCCCAGGTGTGGAGCGGCAGCGGCCGCAATCTCGGGGGGGGAGGTCTTACTGGCAACCTCTGACCCTCTCCTGGGAAGACAAAGAAGCTGAGAGAGCCATAGGCAGAAGCAAAAGGGACTCACTGGAAGTTTCTGAAGGAAATTATGAGAATCTGGCTCAAATCCCAACTCAGCCACCTACTAACTGGTTGACCTTGGGTAAATTATTTAATTTTTTCTTTTTTTTTTTTTGAGACAGTCTCACAGCTGCCCAGGCTGGAGTGCAGTGGCGTGATCTCAGCTCAGGGCAACCTCCACTTCCTGGGTTCAGGCGATTCTCTTGCCTCAGTCTCCTGAATAGCTGGGACCACAGGCGTACGCCACCACACCTGTTTGTATTTTTAGTAGAGACAGGGTTTCGCCATGTTGGCCAGGCTGGTCTTGAACTCCTGACCTCAAGTGATCCACCCACCACGGCCTCCCAAAATGCTGGGATTACAGGTGTGAGCTACTGTGCCTGGCCCCTAAATTACTTAATTTCTCTAAGCCTCAGTTTTCTGTTCTGTTAAACTGAGCCAATGATAGGTGTGTATTATATCATATATAACAGAATTGTGAAAATCACATAGAGTAAAAAACAAAGAATTCAGCAGAGTCTTTGGCCAGGAAGACTTCTCAATGCATGAACATGATTATTCGTACTACCTTCCGGGTCACTGGAGCTACTGCTTTGCTCCAACTAGCAAGCAATCTGCTTTTTTGTTGTTGTTTGTTTGTTTTTTGAGATGGAGTCTCCCTCTGTCACCCAGGCTGAAGTACAGTGGGGCAATCTCGGCTCACTACAACCTCCACCTCCCAGGTTCAAGCGATTCTCCTGCCTCAGCCTCCTGAGTATCTGGGACTATAGGTGCACCCCACCACGCCCGGCTAATTTTTTACATTTTTAGTAGAGAAGGAGTTTCGCCATGTTGGCCAGACTGGTCTTGAACTCCTGACCTCAAGTGATCCGCCTGCCTTGGACTCCCAAAGTGCTGAGATAACAGGCGTGAGTCACTGCGCCCAGCCACAATCTGCTCTTAATTACCCTGCAAAAATCCCAGGAGATGCTTAACTCCAGGGAGAACCTGAGTGCTGTGCAGCCTCTTTCCACTTCCCTCACACACCTGGGCAGGTGGGCAGTCATACCATCATCCATCCCTCACAGCCCCCATGTTAGAGAGATGCTGATAAGGAAGATTAATATATTTCAGAGCAGCATACCTGGAAAAATGCAAACCCTGGGGTGTCATCAATCCAAAGTTACCAGGGAAATGGGGAAAGGCAAATGCAGAAGTTGTTCCTGAACAGTTCTTGCATTTCGGATACAGAAAATACTTACTAAAAGCATCTACCGCCTTTGTCAGATTGTTCTGGGCAGACCTGAGAAAATAAAATTTAAAAAAGTTTTTTCTTTTTGAAAATAAAACAACAAAAATACAATCACATTTTCATTTGCTTGTAAAAGCCCTGTCCTCTACCAGGTCTGAGATGCATTTCCAGTGACCTGAATGCTCCTTGCCCCAGGGTGTCCCTCATGGCCACGCCCTTGTTCCAGGTGTTTAAAGTCCCACCTGGGCACCTTTCTGTTAACTATGGAAGATGATTCTTTCAGATTACACTTACTGTACATGTTTATGCACGTCTTTCTCAGAAATCATACTTCAAGCAGTACAGAAATACTTTCTATTCTCTTACTTCCATTTTCTTTCTTTTTTTTTGAGACAGGGTCGCACTCCGTCTCCCAGGCTGGAGGGCTGTGATGCAATCTCGGCTCACTGCAACCCCCACCTCACGGGCTCAGGTGATCCTCCCGCCATCGATCCTCCCACCTCAGCCTCCTGAGTAGCTGGGATTACAGGTGGGTCCCACCACACCCAGCTAATTTTTTGTAGTTTTGGTAGAGATGGGGTCTCACCATGTTGCCTAGGCTGGTCTTGAACTTCTGAGCTCAAGAGACCCACCTGCCTCAGCATCCTGAAGTGCTGGGATTACAGGTGTGAGCCACCACACCCGACCTATCCTGTTACCTTCAAACTGTGAAAATATCTGTGAGTATTCAATTTTCCATCGCCCTTACTATGAAAAATAAGTTCTTTGGCATTAAAACCCGTCAGAGACTTTTGTTATTTTCTGCATTCTGAGAGGTGGTTGCTTTGGATGTGGTATCATGAAGGCTTTCTTGAAGTTAGCTTTCATTCATCTCCTTGCTGCTATGACTGTTTGGGGATCGAGAACCAAGAGACTTTGACAGGTACTGTACTCTCGATTGGCTTCACATCAAAATTCAAGCACTGACAGGTGACGACTGCTATGTGCTTTCTGATGAAGTGTTTTTGGGAACTGGATGTCCTATAACCAACGTGTGTCAAGATTTTTTTTTTTTTTTAAATATGGAACACTTCACGAATTTGCACGTCATCCTTGTGCAGGGGCCATGCTAATCTCTGTATTGTTCCAATTTTAGTATTTGTGCTGCCAAAGTGACCACAAGATTTTTATATATGTTTCTATACCAACAGTGGCATCAAATCTCAGCTTTTAAAACGGAAGGTTATTTTAAAATCTATACTAATATTTATCTCAGGAACATTACCAAGGGAAGGATTCACGCCTATCTCCTGTCCTGCTGAGAGAGGTGGGTCTTCATTGCAATCTGCAATTTCATTTATCCATACAAGGCAGGCCAAATCACAGACCTGGGCAGGGCTCAGTGGCTCATGCCTGGAATCCCACCACTTTGGGAGGCCAAGGCGGGCTGATCGCTTGAGGTCAGGAGTTTCAGATCAGCCTGGCCAAAATGGCGAAACCCTATCTCTACTAAAAATACAAAAAAATTTAGCAGGGTGTGGTGGTGCACCCCTGTAATCCCAGCTACTCAGGAGGCTGAGACATGAGAATCACTTGAACCCAGGAGGCGGAGGTTGCAGTGAACCGAGATCATGCCACTGCACTCCAGCGTGGGCAACAGAACAAGACTCCATCTCAAAACAAAACAAAAAAATCCCTGACTTTTCCAGTTTACCAAGACTACTGCCAAAGCACTACTGTGTGCTTGAAATCACGCTCCAAAGCTTAAAACGCATTTTTCTTATTCATCCACCAAGATTGATGAAGTCAAGGAAGTGCCTAACATTAGATCATTGTACATCCTATGCCTCATTTTCTCTTCAATGGGAAATGCAAGTGGGTTATATAAGGTGATATACAGAACAACTGCAGCTGTCTGAGGACTGAGCAACAACATGCCTAAGCTATAATACTGAGGATGGCAGAGTTCTTATTGATACCATTATCAATTTCATTAATCTGCAATGTTCATAAAGCAGACATTTCCTTCTATGAGTCCTTTGGAGAAATAAGTTTTTAATTATACTAGAATCATATTCAATAACACTCTTCAAAACCATGAATGCCCTCCTTGTGTCATGGCTGGGATGCACAATGATCTACTGGTTGAAACAAGGGCTTTGGAGTCAGAGGCCTGGCTTTACCGCTAATTAGTTGTATGATTTTAGACAAGACAAGTGACTTCATTTCTCTAAGTATTATTTCTTCATTCATCAAATAGGGATGCTACGACTTACCTGTGAGAATTAAATAAGATGATGCAAGTTAAACATAATTGTTAATAAGATTACAAGAAAGTTTTTTTTTTGTTTTGTTTTCCTCCTCAGTTCCCAGTAGTCTAAGAAATACAGCACCCACCACACCCCAACTAAATTTTTTTTTATTTTAGTAATGGGTTCACCATTAGCCAGGATGTCTCGATCCACTGAGCCTCAAGTGATCGCCTGCCTAAGCCTCCAAAGTGCTAGATTCCAGGCGTGAAGCCAACGTGCCAGCCACAAAAGGATTTTTTAAAGATTACGATTTTCTCGCCTGTAATCCCAGCAACTCTGATCACTGAGGTAAAGGGAGTTTGAGACCAGCCTGGCCAACATGGTGAAACCCCATCTCTACTAAAAATACAAATAATTAGCCAGGCGTGGCAGGCATCTGGTAATTCCCAGCTACTTGGGAGGCTGAGGCAGTGAGAATCACTTGAACATGAGTACCGAAGGTTGCAGAGAGCCGAGATCGTGCCACTGCATCTCAGCCTGTGTGACAGAGCAGGACTCTGTATCCAAAAAAAAAGATTACATTCCATTATCCAACCAGCAGTCTACTCCTTATATCTCTAAAATGGCATTTTTACCAAAAAAATGAATGGCAAAGGAGATCTAATTAACTTAAGAAATAAAAAGGACCTAATGGTGTTCAATTAAGTTAAAAAATTATGAACGCACCGCCGGGCACAGTGGCTCACGCCTGTAATCCCACACTTTCTGAGGCCGAGGCAGGTGATGCGCGAGTCAGAGATCAAGACCATCCTGGCTAACATGGTGAAATCCCATCTCACTAAAATACAAAAAATTACCAGGCGTGATAGGCACCTGTAATCCCAGTACTCGGGAGTGAGGCACGAGAATGGCGTGAATCTGGAAGGCAGAGTTTGCAGTGAGCCGAGTTGGCGCCCACTGCACTCCAGCCTGGGTGACAGAGTGAGGACTCCATCTCAAAAAAAAAAAAAAAATTATTAACAACAAAAAAATGGTTGCTCTAAACCAGCAAGAAAACTTGTTTCCTCATCATAAACTCACGCCTTCCCTGGAAAGCAAATACTATTTAGATGACATTAATTGGTTGTACCTTCATTTTATACTTGGATAGGATCCCATATAGGATTCCAACATTTTACCCTTCAGGCCCCAATTAACTGATTTATACTCTACAGACCACTAAAATACCAATAATTCAGCTGCAAGTCACTTCCAATTTAATTAGTGAGTTGTTTACCATTTATATAGTTAGATCATGTCAGGTCCTCTTCTCAAACCCTCCAATGGCTTACCATTCCACTTCAGGTAAAAGCAGCACCTGGCTCACCGTCCCTGGTCAGCCCCTGGCTTTACATGTTACTTTTCTTAGCCTTCCCAACTCTATAACTGACAACAACTTCCCTTCCCACCCCCCTGACTCTCATAATTTCTCTATTACTTCTCTGCTTTTGGTTTTTTTTTTCTGAGACGGAATGTCTTTGCTTCTGTCGGGGCCGCCCCAGGCTGGGAGTGGCTGTGGCACAATCTTGGCTCACTGCAACCTTCTGACTCCCTGGGTTCAAGCGATTCTCCCTACCTCAGGCCTCCCTTGGAGTAGCTGGGATTACAGGCCACACGCCACCACACCCAAGCCTATTTTGTATTTTTTAGTAGAGATGGAGTTTCACCATGTGACGAACAAAGAATGGTCTCTGGGATTCTCCTGGACCTCATGGATCTGCCCACGCCTCGGCCTCCCAAAGTTTGCTGGAATTTACAGGCGTAAGTCCACTTGTGCCCAAGCCTCCTTGCTTATTTTTTTTTATTTAAAGAACCAGCATGGAGATCGGCTACAGCATTACATTGTTCTTTCTTCTTTTTTTTTTTTTTTTTGAGGACAGGTCTCCCCCCCGATCACCAGGGCTGGATGCGGTGGTTTATGATCATCATCTCAGCTCACTGCAACCTTCCGCCACCTGGGGCTTAGTGTTGATTCTCCCACCTCAGCTCATTCAAGTAGCTGGGAGCACCAGATATGTACCACCATGTCTGAATTTAATTTTTGTATGTTTTTTTTTTTTGGGTTAGAGATGTGTTTTGCCG